TTTTTTGTTAAAATCTCTTAAGAGATTTTAGCAGAGTATAGCCATCAGTGGAGGTCACGTGGTCTAAAGACAAGCTCAGATATCAGAAAAATAGCTATAACTGCAGTTTTTGTGGTAAAACGGAATATATTATATTTCTATGAGTTATTCATAATGTTTTTATTGTGAAATATAGATCTCATATAAAGAGTTATTATCCCTTTAAGTTACAAGTAATACATATTGGTGCTACAGTGAGAGAAAAATATAGTAGACAGTAATGACATGTACCATATGTTTTTATTCAGGGTTTTACCAAAAGACAAAGGGCACATAATCTAAGACCCCATTTCCAGAGATTAGATCTATCTGCTTTAGATCGACCTAACTCCCTGGGGGTTCACGCTAAATAGCTGTCAGCCGAGCGGACATGAAAGTTAATTACCCTCTTACAGCTTGTAGTAGGCAGGATGGACATTTAAGCCGGATTATCTGACAGTAATCTAGTGAGACTCCCCGCGGGGATAGATCGATCTAAAAGATCTGGGAATACAGCCTAACAGATGAGGTACCTGTCACATTGGTTATCACAATGTAAAAACTACAGGGAGATGCAAATGTCTTATAAATAAGAAAACTTGATTTGTGTACTCACCATTTCAATATTGTCTTCCACAGCATGTACTGGCGGCACATATGGGGTAGACTGTAGCGGACAGTGCGCCTGTCACAACAGTGCAGAATGTGATCATGTGACAGGGGAGTGTATCTGCGCACCAGGATGGAGAGGCGCAGGTTGCGATGAAAGTATGTAACACTGTGAAAAATATAAAGGCTCCCCAAGTCTTCTGTGTATAGTTTGCGTTCATATTGAAAGGTTAATAGACAAGGCAAAATGTTAATGATGTTAATATTTAGATAATTTGGAATATATGTTTTGGGGAAAATGAAGATGAACTGCATTTAGTCAAAAGGGCAATTACTTCAGTTCTTTTTTTTCCTTTGGACTGCAATTTCATTAAAATTTTTGATGTATATTGGGATAAGTTGTCTACAACCTAACCTGTGCTTATGAAAACATGTTTGCAGTGAAGTACTATACATTACATATAATAAGCTTTATTATTCTTTTTAATTTTAGAGTGTGGAAATGGCACATATGGTCCTGGATGCGGGAAACTCTGCATGTGCCGCAACGGCGCAGACTGCGACCACATCAGCGGTGCATGCATGTGCAAATCAGGATGGCGGGACACATTTTGCGACAAGCCTTGCCCTGAGGGATTCTTTGGACTGGAGTGCCAGAGCGTATGCAACTGTGGTATTGGAAACCATTGTGACCCAGAAACTGGAGAGTGCACGTGCGCTGCAGGCCTCACAGGACTGCGCTGTACGGAGCCGTGTCGTGAGGGAACGTGGGGCATTGATTGCAAAAACCAGTGTGATTGCGAGAATGAAGCCACTTGTGATCCCTTCTCTGGGTTCTGCCTTTGTAAGCCAGGATGGAAGGGGCCTACTTGTGAAGAAGGTAGGTGTTCATTTCTATCAGTATGATTTTTGTTCTGAATTATTTTTCTTTCTCATAAAGCACTCAGTTATTAAAATCATTTTTATTGGCATTTTCTGTGTATGTTTCAGTATTTCATGAAGTAGTCATCAGAAACAATTTCACTTGATAAGGATGATTAATTTGTGAGGTGCAACATACATGTTAATAGAAAATATATACCTTTAGTTGTGGATTAATGTTATAACTTTGCACAAGAAAAGTAAAACTTTTACAAATTCTTATAACCAAGACTAAGGTTATTTTTAAAGATGCATACAAAGTCAATTTTTTGTCACAAAAACCAACCAATTGCCAGCATATAGTTTCAAGTAGTATAACTAAGAGAATTACCAAAAGGCATTGTATAATTTTACCTGAAAATGATGTTTGAACGGATTTTTCTGCTGGCATTCTAAGCTGTATGTCAATGGGGCAGGAAAGTACCTGTAGGTCACGAATGTAGGTTAATTTTACAACCATAAATTTAAAGAAAGGAGCAGTCTAAAGGTCTTTTATGGCTGATCGAGTGATCTATTCAGTTTATCCCTTGGCATGTCGAATTTATTTTAGTCATATAAGAATCTAGTTGAAGTGGTTTACATGTGTTACTGGGAATCCACGCTCCACCGATGCTCGGTTCATATATACCTTTAAATTTTTGAAAATGGACATTCTAGCTATTTTTAGCTATTGGTTAAACATTTCTGAATCATATTTCAGCTTGTGAACCTTTCTTTTATGGCACGAACTGTGGTCAGAGATGCATGTGCAGCAATGGTGCCTTGNAGTTGAAGTGGTTTACATGTGTTACTGGGAATCCACGCTCCACCGATGCTCGGTTCATATATACCTTTAAATTTTTGAAAATGGACATTCTAGCTATTTTTAGCTATTGGTTAAACATTTCTGAATCATATTTCAGCTTGTGAACCTTTCTTTTATGGCACGAACTGTGGTCAGAGATGCATGTGCAGCAATGGTGCCTTGTGTGATCATGTGACTGGCGCATGTAACTGCACCAATGGCTGGACAGGGATGTCATGTGACACACGTAAGAAGTCATGTGATATGATGCAGAGGATATATTGTCAAAATATCTCAAAATTTTTACTTTTAATTATGATACTTTGAGAGCTTTCAGTAAGAAAGCTATTTATCCATTAATTTTATTTGTTTTGATCGATATCAGTGACAGATATGTAGTATGAATGTATATTGTTAATGACAGAAATTATTCGTCCATTATTTTTTATTTTATTTTTTATTTTTTGTTTTGTTTTGATCTCTGTGACAAAACATGTAGGTGAAACATATATTGTCATTGACAAAAACTTTAATTTTCTCATACGTAAAGATGATACTTTTTTGCTAACACATCTTCATTGTCTTGACTTAAAATAGCATATTTAAATAAGGTATAATTATGTGAATTATGAAGTCAATTTAACAAAAATATGTGTCATATTTCAGTTTGTATGGAAGGTTTCTATGGCCCAGACTGCAGGCTGGTTTGTGAATGTAGCAAGAACAGCAAAGAGTGTGACCGCTTCACAGGAAAATGTATTTGTAAAAAAGGATACATAGGCAAAACATGTAGTGATGGTAAGTACATATACCATATAAGACTGTGGCATATATACTATTCATGTATGTTACACACACACACACACACACACACACACACACACACACACACACACACACACACACACACTAGTACATATGAATAAACAGAACAGTGTTTTAGAAGTTATGTTCTGTGCATTATATGCATTGCAGTGGCATTTTAGTATTATGTGATATTCATGGCTTGGGTATGGAAATTATGATTTTGCCGAGCAGTTATGTCGAAGTATGTGGATTATATGTGCTATATTTGCAGGCTCAGTGTGAGTGTGTGTATGCGTGTATGCTGAATGATTTTTTTTTTTGATATGTTTTTTTGTTGAAACCTGTAGAAATAATTATCCCTTTACAAGTATAATATATTATATTGCCCTCTTCCACCCCCCTCCTAACTCCTGGCAGTCCCCTGGGGTACCTCCACCCCCCCCACCCCCCCATCCCGGGAAGAGAGCCACAGAAACTATTGTCTTAAAGAGACTATATTATCATTGCTTCAGTATGCCCAGTTTCTTGTTTTGCAAAGGTATCCTGCTGCATCAATATTGTTGTATTATAGCAAGGTTATTTAATTGTTGCACTGTCATTGATACATGTAGCTACATTTGCTGGTTTAGTTTTATACTATGTTATTATGTTGGTGCCAGAAATATATGTTAATGATATATATATATATGTAATTGGTATTGTTGAAAGATCGCACACTTCCTGGACTTGGTTAAGAATAGATCTTGTTGCTTATTGTTGAACAGACTTTTAGGCACATATATGGGTAAGATCAGACAAAAGGATAAAAAAGTGAATTTTTTTAATGAAATAAGTCACATTGTTTAAAAAGTTCTTCATTTAATCTTGTTATGTATAAATACATCTAGGTGGATTGGTGAATTTACAACAGTTTCAGAGAACAAAGATTTACATATAAATATATTCAAAATCATCTGACTGCAAAAGTGGATGTAGTTGCATTACAGCATACTATGTTATATACCATGTGCATACATGTATTTGCAACCTGGTAAATTTGTTGACTTAAAGGTGAGTTGAATTTATATATATACCCGGTATATTAGAGATGTACAGGGAAAATGTAGTGCATTTGTATGGAATATTACATTTATTTATTTATTTATTTATTTATTTATTTATTTATTTGTCCGTTTGTTTATTAGACTGTTCAGATTTATTAGACTATTCAGATAGTGATCAAATAGAATTTTTACAGATAGGGTAATTTTTTCACTCAGATCTACTTTTACTACATTGGTGCATATATATATATATATATATATATATATATATATATATATATATATATATATATATATATATATATATATTTTTTTTTTTTTTTTTAATTTATTTATTTATTTATTTATTTTTTTTTTTTT